GTGGGGTGTGGTTTGGGGCAGCCTAGTCTGGTGGAAGGCGTCCCTGCCTGTGGTGGGGGGGGTTGGAATGAGTTGATCTTCAAGGTCCCTTCCAACGCAAACCATTCTCTCATTCTATGAAGTCAATGCAGTTCATATGACCAAAGGCAGCTGTCTTAGCTGATGGCATCCTCACTGACCATCATGGGAATCTAACTGCTTCACAGCGTGCATACCTGATGGGCTCCTGGACTGGTCCAGGTTCAAGGGGCCTTTAAAGATCACCTGGTCCAAACCCTGTGCCACGGACAGGGACATCCATCGTTGATCATGTTGCTCCAAGCCTGTCCAACCTTACCTGTGACACTTCCCAGGCTGGGACATCCACACCTGCTCCAACAGAGTCATGGAATTGTTTGGGTGCACCTCAGGCACCCGCAGATGGATGATGTGGCCAGTAGGGCAAGGGAAGTTATCCTCCCCCTCTGCTTTGCCCTGGTGAGACCACACCTGGAGCACTGTGTCCAGTTCTGGGCTCCCCAGTTCAAGAAGGATGAGGAACTCCTGGAGAGAGTCCAGGGGAGGACAACAAGGATGATGAGACCTTTCCTCCCCTATGAGGAAATGCTGAGGGAGCTGGGCTTGTTTAGCCTGAAGAAGAGAAGACTGAGAGGGGATCTCATCAACACATACAAATATCTTAAGGGTGGATGTCATGAGGATGGAGCCAGATTCTTCTTAGTGGCGCCCAGTGCCAGGACAAGGGGCAATGGGCACAAACTGAAGCAGAAGAGGTTCCAGTTGAACGTGAGGAACTTTACTTGGAGGGTGCCAGAGCCCTGGCACAGGCTGCCCAGGGGGGCTGTGGAGTCTCCTTCTGTGGAGATATTCAACCCCTGCCTGGACGATGTCCTGTGCCCCATGCTCTGGGTGAGCCTGCCTGAGCAGGGGGGGTTGGACTGGGTGATCTCCGTAGGTCCTTTCCAACCCCCGCCATTCTGGGATTTTGTGTGATTCTGTGACCCCTCTCTCCCGGCCGCCTTCAGCTGGGACGTGCTTCAGACGTGGAAGCAAACGCGGTCGGGGGTGAGAAACGCCAGGACGGGGCGGCTCCCGCGGCCGCCTCCGAGGGAGT